CATCAATTGTTAGTGAATTCATTCACTTTTTTGGTTGGCGAAGTGTGTAATCCACTCAAAGGAAAAGACCCGGAAAAAATTTGCCTTCTTCGGAATCACCAATTCAAACTCTGACAGCCTGTCTGTATGTTGCAATCACACAAAACACTAATTTTGTGGGAGCCTCGCATGTTGTGGTGCTAAATGTAGATTCGTTTTTACAAAGTAAGGTAAAACAGAACTTTTAGTAGCATTGGCATTTTCTAGCACGGTGTAGAAAGGCTCGCAGGTCCACGCAACGATTGCCAGTACCCACAACGCACTTTTGGTCCCCTTTAATATGTAGTCAAAACATGATATGATGATGTTTATCTCTCACAGGATGCCATTAGAGCGTCGCGCACCATTGTCACAAACACTGGCGACGTGCATTAATTTGAAGGCACGTCGCCATAAATAAGCTCGGGAAAACTTTCGTTCCAGCAAATAAGACCATCATCTGTGAAATCGGCGAATTTTGTTTTAAAATTCCCCGAAACGTTTTGCCGCATTGGTGTCCCTTTAATCCTAATTCGGTGAAGAGCCTCATCCACTTGCACGAATGCCCTATTTAAAACTGAATCGATCAAACCGTTGGATACTTGTGTTCGTCTTGGGACTAGGGGAGCCCAGATGTTGTCATGACAACTAGCGATGGCTAATTTGCGTTCTTGTGTGCTCGAGATGAGGTCAGTGATTTGACTGCGGTCAGTTTATGTAAACACAAACTCCTGGAAAAAGGCGTCTGGGATAGTCCGTCAGGGCCGTTCGGCTGATGTCGTAGCATGCTGCTTCCACGAGTTTAAATTCAAAGTCCTACATTTTGGCAACAAAAATGTGCCTTCCGGATATTGTGTATATTATTATAGGGCTTACCGTACGAATAGGGCGTGGTTTTCTTCTGGGATTTTCTTGTGTCATTAGAAAGGTTACTTAATAAATAATTTAATGGATTCAACATTTCCGAATTGGTGGGTTATTGTGATGCGTGTTTACTCATTATGATTTTTCACTTTGTCATAGTTTTGATTTTTTGGGGTGCGCATCTTCACGTTTCAACAAGGAACTCGAGTGCAACTCAAAACCCCGATTCTGAACCGGCAGTGTCTGAATTTCAACAGGAAATTTTTCAAAGATTGCTTACACTACCATGCCCATCGATACCAAAAAACTGAACCCTCACTCTAACACGAAACGCCAAAATCGACTCGCGTCAAACGCACTCCATTAAGCTAAAAATTAGCATGCCGTCCGCTGTTCCCTTAATCAGTCGAACGTGTGTTTGTATTTTGACACCAGCCACTGGCATCTAAACTTAGAAATAACGTCGGAAACTCTATCAATCATCGACAGATTTCCTAAGTCTCGCTACTTGACCACGTGAAAGCAGTCGTACAAATTAGGCGACACTAGCACTAAATCTTCATATTACAGGCATTTCTTTTTGGTGTATTTAAACCCCCTAGATGGGTCAGACACACTTGGAATGAAAGCGAGTGGGGTGCGGTGCGATTCCACACGGACCACAACCCTCTGCAATTAAAGTTGGTTGCTATGTTAAATAAACACGTCGCGGGTGGTAGCTCCCTGGTGGTGGAGGATGAAGAGGAGGAATCGGGTGACTGCCTACACCTCAATGGCTTCCTGCCCCGGCGACCGCATTTTATAGCATTAGCCCATCCTCACGGGATGTCACGTTTGTTTATTAAGATTTTATGATCGAGTTTTGTAAAGTATGAGAGTGTCGCTTCTTAACAAAAGACGTCAATTCAAAATAGACTTTCACCCGTGTAAGTCATGGTGCTTCTTAAAATCCTCTTTAGAAACTAACTTTAATGTATCACTGTGGATTATTTCGATGCCAACAACCCTCACCGAAAATAGAAACACAGGACCGGTGCTTACGTGGTCAGTGGCTCCTTGGATTCCATGACTGACTTCGCTCCCTTAAACAATTTCTGAGACATGGCAAATAGCAAGACATGGTTTTTCGCACCTCTCAATCTTCTAGATATTGATTTTTCTAAATTCCAAAGGCTTTTTCCACAATTTCAACTCAATTACTGGTTGTTCATTTAGGCAAATTTTAAATATTTTCCATGACCCTCACTGTTTTAAACATCTGTTAAAATTCATGCCAGGTGGTTTTCAGGCTGTCATCAATTTTATTTAATTTTGCCAGTCTTGATGAAGTGTAAAACAGCACGTGCCAGCTATTTGGTCGAACGAAAACAATTTTACCGAAGCTCTTGGCTTTAAAAGCCAAAACAACGCAGCAAAACAGCCAACCAGATTAATTTGTCTTTGCTTGAAATGGTGCAAAGTGAATTCTAGAAAGGTAGTAAACTATTTTTTTATTAAATGTCTATGTGTAGATGCTATTTGCGTTTGAAGGTCAAGTTCTTAAGGAAAATTTGGTCTCTGAGAGGGCCATTAATCTTTTCCAAAAGTTGGATACTTAAGCAAAAGACTTTACACCGACGCGCTCTGTCTTACGCATTCGTTTGCTGGCGCATGCTAAGTACGCAAAGCAACATTAAAGTAATTTTTGTACCAGTTCTAACTAATGGGGCTGAATCGCAATCTTAGGTTTCCATATTTCCCCAGATTCACCTTCAGTTTCGGGCTTTAACATTTGTATAAAGACAACTGCGTTTATCCCAAAAGAACCAGTTTTCTCTGTTGCATTTATTTTTAGTATCCAAGTAATAGCGATTTGACTCAGGGACTTCAAATCTTTACCACGTGATTAGCTCGGCCTTCCCTGTAAAGTTTCTTGTTCTCTCGTTTGCTATTTTCCTGACCTAATACCTGCAAATTAGACGATCATGCTTACTTAACCAGAAACCTTTTCAAGCTTTTCATCTTTGCCAAGTTTTTTTTATAATTCTAGGTATCAGATATTCGTATTTGTCTTTTGTCTACTGAAGAATCCACTTGTCCTCTTTTGCCCACCTTAGCTGTTTCAATTTGCAGGCCTTTATCATTAACCGAACACGATGCCTCTGATAGCCATTATTCATGTAAATGTTAATTTTATAGATATTGCTTCACAGATGTTACCTTATTCAATTGTCGTGGTTGGGCACTTTTAATTCAACTTGTCCAAGTAGCATCGACCCGAAATTTCTCATTTTAACTGTCTGCATTGATCTTTGAAGTCGTGCATATCACCTTGGTGATTCTGTCTTTTTTGAGGGAAGTTATAACTAATTTGCAAAAAAAGGAATTACTATAAATGACAGCTACTTGTGCTGAAGTCAAGTACCAGCGTGACTTGCAATAGGCGGTGACAGAAACTGATCCGCTTCACTACCTGCCGGAAACAAGGCTCTCGTTTTTGTTCGGCACAATTTACTTGGAAGCCCTCCTATTTTGTGTTCGCACGCCGAAATTATACCAGACTGGCACCCAAAATCTGCTTGCCAACATTTCCGTACATTTTGCTTCGATTACACCATTTCTTATTCCTTAGTCAAAAAGTGCATGGCACCCCGGTATTTTCCTCCTTTCGCAGTAGGAAATTCGTTGTTAGAGACAAATCTGTATTCATTCCGGCGTCAACTTGCACCACTTTCGTATCCTCATCATCAGCATTTTGCAAAGAAGGGATTTGTAACTATCTAGTTTCACCTATACGCCATGGCTTCAAATTCCTTTAGGAGAGAAGTTTGATGCCGTCTAAAATCGGAGCATACCCAAATAATGCAAGTCGATATTTTGTTTTTTTTTTCTCCTCCGCTAAATAAAAAGTTAAAAATCTGAAATATTGAAGTGACCATAATGGATTCGAATCGAATGCAATTCAAAATTGTATAATCCTAATCGTGCAATTCAGTATGCTTCTATTTGCTCAAGACCTGCTTTTCCGACGTTGCTTAGTTTAAGAACCCACGCTTTTTCCCATCATTCGATCCCCAGGGCTATTTCCAGACGTCCAAAATGTTGATAGGCAGTTGCCTCTATCGGGATTTTCGCATGTGAAGAGTGCCAGCAAGCACAAATTCTCAACTGGTTTTTGCGCACTTTTAGATTCTACTTGATGCATAAAATTAAGGGGTTGTCCAATTAAAATAAGGTAAAAAGCCATTTATAATTCAAACCAGTGTGTTTTTAAATTAACCAAAGTAAGGATTTACTCGAGTATTCAATGACTTGAAACATTAGTCGGTTTTCGTGTTCGTATAACATAAATGTTATTTCGCAGCTCACTAGATTTCACGAAAATGTTGGTCTAGTACAGCTCATTCTTCGCCAGTCTCTCGTTCAGTTTTCGGTCCATTATTCTAACTAGCGAGTGGGGTAAAAATAATCCTTTACGATTTCCTTCCTATAAATATTTTTTTGTTGAAATCCTAAATAAATTAGACCTTTAAGAGGAATCACCTTTTAAGTGCTCCAAGTGCTTAACTCACGAGAACTTGACTGTTTCACTGCCACTGTTTTTGGCGTTCATTTTACTATTATTATACGAATGAGATGCATCTATAGAGGGATCTGTTTGTCCGGAAATCGGAAAAATCGTTCAGACTTTTTCAGTTCAGACTTTAGTGGGGTTCATTGAACATATCCTCAACAAAAAGGACGAAACTCCCCGTTTTCAAACATCCGACGTTCTTGGCAGAACTCAAAAATGGATTTCGTTGAAATGTCTGTGATTTAAGTCCAGTGATGACATGTCGCTTAATAGGATCTAAGGGTTCAATTGATTTGGTTAAGATCACATGACATGTGATATACTGGCGGCAAGGGTTTTTTTATGGAAAATAAGTCTTCGTCCCGACATAGAAAAAGCTGATTCTTTGCATATGCTTCTCACAACCATATTTTGGCTCATTGTGTCAGTTTAACTTTGTCTATTTGTAGGGCACTAAAGTTTGCACCAAATTAAATTATTTATCACTTTGTGTTCAAAGATTTTTTTTATAATTTCCTACGTGCTCATTCCTTGTTTAGGCATCGTCTGTGGTAACTAATGAGAGATGAAGATGCAGGAAATCATTGTACTCCTCTCCCTCATGGTCGCTGGCATAATATGCCTCGAGTGCCCCGATCTCTGTCAGTGTGTCTCTTCCATGATGGACTGCAAGAAGCCTGGTCTCGAGTCACTCCCACCTGCGCCATCCAGCAAACTGGAGATGGTGGTGATTGCCAACCAAACATTTCGACGAACCACGCTTGACGGGGAGGCCCTTCGACCCTACTGGAGCCCGGAGCATGGCGGTCAAATCCGTTTGCGTTTATTGAAAATCCGTAACTGCAACATAGTCAGTCTCGCGTCGAACGCCTTTGCAAATTTGGGCTCACAGCTCGAGGAACTTGACCTCAGCGGCAACCCTCTGCACACAATTGCAGCCCATGTGTTTACGGGTCTTCGTCTAAAGTCACTCTTTTTAAACAACCTTCTGAACCCGGCAATCCACGATCAGGCCTTCTCTAGCATTACCGAAGTACAGAGCTTGAGTATTCAAAGCTCTCACTCCACCTCCCTTCCCCTAAGACCTCTCATTGAGCTTGTTAACTTTCACGGATTGAAAAGTCTGTCGCTTCGTGGAAACAAGATCTCCCGTCTGCCACCTGTGTTTGAGCCTGTTTTTCGTCTCTTACAGACTTTTGAATTAAGTGAAAATCCCTGGCATTGTGATTGCAATCTTCGGTGGCTCATCCAGCTGCACAAACTAAGTCGACCGACAAAAACAACGTCTGTATTGTCGGGAAACAGCGAAAGCTCTAGAAACGATATTCGTCAGCCAGTTTGCATTAGCCCTATCGAATTCGCTGGCTACACCTTTGATGAGGTTACTTTAAACGAAAGTGAAGTGCTTTCAGGTTTACAGATTCAAACTGCAGTGCCGAAACGACCCATTTTATCATGTGTAATGCCCAGAGTTGAGCACATCGATGTGGACCTGCGGCAACCAAATTCCGAACTGGAAGTAAGCAACCTTGCTCGAATCTCCTGTCAAATGAGGGGAGCCCCAGAACTCCTAATTAGCTGGGTCTACCACCTCCCCAGTGGAGAGGTCCGGAATGTTACAGGAATGGCCAAACAGCAGGAAGATGGACATATGATGCCATATCCGTTTGCACCGCCCCAGCCAAAACGGCTGACAAGCCGACTGTCCGTTAAACAGGTATCGGAGACAGACGTATACTCCTGTGTGGGCCAGAATTTGCTGGGCAACGCATCGGTTACAGTAAGTATTCACTGGCCCCAAAACAGACCAGAAGGGATGTTATTGCCACCAGATACGAATGATTTCGGGGAAAAGCAACTGCTTGAGGTCATGCCCAATGGGTTGGCGGGTCCAGTGGAAGACATGGAGCATGGTATTCTGGCAAAGCGGTTTAGTTTGGTAGACGTCATCGGTGCCGTACTGGGAACTTTCTTCGTCACCATGCTGATGTTCATTATCGCTTATCGAACCTCAAAGCTCTACGTCTATCGAAGGTCGAAATTGCGATCCCAGTCCGATCTTATGTTACGACCTCATGATAACACGAAGCGAACTCCTGATGGTACATCTTCCTCTGGAGCGTCTTCGTCATTGCTCAAGTTTTCTCAACTTCAAGTTGCCTCATCCTCTCGTTACCCCCTTGAGTCGAAACAAGCCGTCTATCAGCACCAGGGTGGAGGTGGATTCCTAATGCAGCCAAAGCAACGCGATTCTGGAACGTTTACTTCACATTCCACAACGTCCTCACAAAATGCCAATGGTCTGGGTGGTGCCTATGAGACCGTCTATAATGAATCCTGCGCTAATCAGGTTATGTACGAGTCACCGGGTGATAGCCTTGCCGCTACGGCGTGCCACCAAAATCACCAGCCTTTCTTGTTTCAATTTGCCCAACCCCCACCATTGACTGGCTACCCACTGGTATTTGGTAGTACACTCCCATCACACAGCGCATCAACAGCAGCCTTTGCGTTGGGGGTTTCGAATCCTTCAGCTCCAACATACATCCCTCCACCTCCTACTGGGCGGCCGCCGTCGCTTCCGGGATCCGTTCAGACGCGAGCTGGTCCCTTACATGTCTACTCTTCCACAATACATATGGCTGATCAGTTCCCACAGAGTGACGGTGGAGGGGTTTGTTCATCTGTAAATGCAGTCCCACAACATAATCGCATTTCCTAACCTTATCAGTCATGTTTATTAAAAGGGACACTGTAAAACAACCACCAGTGAAAATGTCGCATTAATCACTGTAAGCACAATGTACATACTGCCCTGTGCTGTATCCATAATTCCCCTTACGGTGGCTTCCTTTACATATTTGCTTCTACATTGAATAAAACGCTTTTCTTTCGTATACATACATATTGACGTATAACACAATGAAATTGTAATATTGATGAATAACATTGAGATCATATTAAATCAAAAAGGCAATTCGCTAGTGTGTAGATGAATTCCCAGCGCCAAAGTAAGTACGCTCTGCAAATGCGGTAGTAGATCAAAGAAACCTTTAGATATTGCGTCAAGACGTTTGTTTCTGGTTTTATGACGGTCAAAATAGTTGTCTAAATGTTATTTACCAACTTAGTGTTGTTGCTACGAGCTGTGGCTAGGGTGCTGATTTACTATGATCTGCCAAATGAAAAAACACCACAATGGCTGTACACACGTTGGGACTTTAAAGCAGTGGAAGGCACTTCGCTAAATATTCGGCATTTTGTGTGTGTAGCTTTGATGTCTGTTGGTCTCGTTTGTAACTATGTTAAGTAGTAGACGGAAATTAGATCTATGTTCAATCACGGTGAATGTCTCGACTTTGGTCAGTTTCAGTGTTGTTTGCCTTAGTCTGTAACGCCAAAAGTGTAGGATAAATACCAATGGGTGGTTCGCAGCGCGTGTCGCGCGAGCTGTCTCGGTGCTGCAGCCAATTTCTCAGACTTAGTGGCTGCTGTTCTTTGAGGCCTCCCATTTTAGCTGTTCGAAATAGCTTTCTACAGAGTTCAAACTGCACTTTCCGAACCAGAAAAGCAAGCATAAAAGCAATGTAACTTAAAATGTTAGACCACTTTTGTGAGCAATATTCTTTGAATTTTGAGAAAAAAAGAAACTTCAGTTTTTGCTGTGAATTTTGACATGTAAACGGTTACAGTTCGTTTAGAAGATGTGGATGGTGGTAAGAATCCTCCAAAAGGTGATCCATTAAGCCTGGTGTTTGCCACTGGATCCTTTCTTAGAAGCGGTGTAGAGGAATGCTACAAGGCCGAAAAAGCCTGTTGTCGGAGCCATCTTGAATTAACAGTGCATACAAGTGAACGTCAATTTTGACAACTGGGCATATTACGAGAAGTTCAGACATCCGAAGTCAGAAATCGCCTGAGACCTCTGTGTCCACTGATTTAATTCAGAACCCTAATTGCCGTGATGACATAAATGAGATAGCGATTTAAGTTATCAATGACCCGAAAAGGTCCTTTTCCAACAGGGATGATGACACTAATTTCGATGTTTTTATATGAATATTACAATTTTTTGAAACTTTATAGTGGGAAGTGTAAAGTGACTACTGTAATATTTATTTGATTGGAGACGACCAATTAATTGAAAACCGTGTTAGGAGTTGACGTTCTCCTAAGAATTAGGAAATCACCCTCAGAAATGCTACTAAACCAATCTCTCACAATCATGAATTGACCACCCATTATTCGCTCGCTACAACATCTTATCCCAGTTTCTCTTATCTACAATTGGACCCGTTAAGATCTGAACACAAACTCACATCTTTGTCGTTTTCTTCTGCCCTCATGTTCAAACGATGGACGTTTTAGCTTCTTTGGCGCATATCAAAATGCTACTTGACGAGGTTACGTGTAAACACTTCTAACAGCTTTCACACACAAACCAATTATAAACAAAACCATGACACTATTTACTTCTTCGCTTAAAACGAGAACAGGAACTCTGGTTTAATTTTAATCAAGCATGCGGACTGATCCTTCAATTAGCACCTTTGTTTTCATAGTCACCAAAGTGTCAGCGGCGCAGGAGTTGACATAGTGATAATCGCTGAGCGCATGAGAACATTGATTCCCCTATCAGGAACGCACCCCATCAAATATTTGTTTTTAAAGCAGGTTAAGGGAAACCACACAATGATTTGGAAAACACAACGATCTTTAAATTGTGAACTAAATTCGTATGGAGGGTAAAATAAATTCAGGTACGCAACCTTGCTATCACAGAAATTAATCTGAGTACTAGCTCCATACCAATTTCGATTTGTTACCTCGTTGAAAGATCTCGAAAAGGCAAATTACTGAGTGCAGGTTTCATCAAGCACCAACTCTGCAAACATTGGTCCGAGTAAAGGCTGAAAAACTGCCTGAATGATCATGAAAATTATAACTTGTTATGTGTTAAAGATTGAAATGGCCCACCCTAACTTAACGAGGGAAGTCGATAGTATGCTTTTATTTATCTTCATTGCAATTATAAAAATTGATTAACTTCGTGATTATCCAGGCATTCCTTGTGCTTCCCTATGCAACTCATTAATCGGCCCACAAAGACGCTGATATCTGCCTACTCTAAAAAAGTCGAACAATGCTTGTGCAAAATGCACCAATATTTACCAAGAAAAATTATTACAACCACTTATCGATTTATATAAAATCCTCTCTTAAAGAGAAGAGGTTACTAACGATCAGCGCCCTTATGTGAAAAGCTCCACAAATGTTATTTTCTAGTCATTATACATCTGTTTCAAAGTTCAACTTCATCTAGTGTCTTTTACTTATTTGCCTGCAGGTCGGTCATATCCGCCCAAAAATGCATTAACCATAGAGAAGAACGGTTGGTAGGAGCAAAGGAAGCGATCATCTTAATCTTGTTTGATTATCATCGAAATACCTGAGTATCATAACTTCACGGAGTATCAGCGCACGACTGAGTATAAGATCATTCCTAGCTTACAACGCCGAGATTGATCCCAGTGTCGCACAGCACCAAGGCACACGCTCGGACCTCGGACGATGGCCTCTTCCCTCATTTTTAAGGGAAACGATACACCACACTGGACTAAATCCCACTTGGGGACTTTTGCACGTTGTTAAGCCAGTTCAGATTCTCACCCTTGGTCACGAAATTCGGCTATAATAACTACTTAATCATGTCATGGAAAGAGATTAAAGAAGGTAATGGATTTTAATTTTGTTCTCATAATTCTAACATTGGGTGCGGATGTTACAGCAGCCGAGTCATTGAAAAAGCCAGGGTTTGTACTCGCCTCATGTCAGTACAGATTAAACCAACAGGCAAATTTAGTTACATCTTTACGTATATTTTGTCTTGATCCAGTTCACCGTTTGCACAGACCAAGGTCAATCTGATCTTTTGGAGGTGGCAGATTAGTTTACTTTCTAGACTGATCCTATACATAAGTTTGCTGTTCGTTTTTCCGAAGGTCTGTCTGATGGTTCACATGGCACCCTGAAAATGTTGAAAAAAAATTAGTAACACAATTCAAAGAAACCACTTGATCTGTGTAGAAGTAGTCTGAATTGATCACCTCTGCGATAATCATTTGATGCGGCACTTACTACATAAGGAAAGTTCGGAAGAGATCTCATAGGAATGTACGATTTGAAGTAAAAATTTAGCTTTAGAACCTTGGCCCATTCTTCCCAAATTTGGATGCGCTAAAATAAAAATTGCAAAAGTACACAATCTTATGTTTTATATGTTGTTAAAATGACTTGGTCGTGAATATACTTTGCTTCAACCTAAAGTGTTTTGCATTTATAAAAATATGCTAGTCATTGAATCACGTTTGACCGTGGAGTCAAAATGAGCTTCCTTCCTAAGTCAAAACTTGTTCCAGCGAAGGACTTTTCTTTATGGTTGTTTTTACTGTGGCATGAGTTGTTTCGGCGCAGAGGTCTGGCGTGTTGATAATGCAAGGCAATACACTTAAAAGCGCTTTCAATTACACTACATGCACCACACGTCTAAATGCATGCCCTTGAGGAAGTAACATTCAATTCTAGAAAGCTGCCTGTACAATGTAGTTTGGGGCATCATATTGATTTGTGGCAGAGCATTTTGCATGACTTGGCTGAACAGCACGCATATTAAATCCAAGTCCCGTGGCAGGAGATACCTAAGTAATTGCTTTAAGATAGTATGCTACGGATACTCATGACGACTTCAGGTCAAAGCCTGGGCTTCTAGTGGATCCTGAAAGGGGAGAATGTGGTAGTAACTTGTGAAATATATTTTGTTCTGTTCAAATATAAACAAAAAATTTAAAATAATACCATTATTTAGTACTTTTAATGATAGATCACCTTGTAGCCACAAAATCGAAAAATTTGAGTTACCATAACATCGATACCAGGTCGACTCTGGATTACTGGAGATGACTGCTCAAAGGGTGAATTTATTTTTGAATTAAAGAGTTCTAACCTGAACAATTGTACCTAAAAGTTGTATGAAATCATAAATCAACCATTCATTTCTGGAAGTACGTTATAGCTTTCTTGTTTCCATACGCAAAACAATACTCCCACCCTCAAGATATACTAAAAGAGTAACTCCTAACTTGCTTAAATTAAAGAAACTGCGCACTGAAAAAGAATCTGAAAGTGTTCAGGGCTGGAAAACAACACCAACCAACACAAGTGGACTAAAACATCAAAAAAGTCGTCTATTTGAGGAATATTATTTATAGCAAATATTTAATTAAATAAGTATAAATTTGCGTTAAAAATGACTGCCGATCAATGTCAAATCAAGTTGGTGTCCTATGGTTTTATTTTGGAAATCGTGTGAGATCAGGATTCAGTTCACAGTTGTAGAAAATATAAAATTTATTGACCAGCAAGGAAGCTGTCCAATAACTTACCTGTTCGCTGACTCAGAAAATTTGCATTTAACGAATGAGATCGAGAAGTCGACACGATCCGGGGTTCATTGAATTTTCATTGCCAATTTCCCTCTGCCACACAATAATGCATTTCAAGTAGACGAGGGTGCTAATATTGTTGAGGATGTCAGCATGCCCCAAGACAGCTTAATTGAATGATGTTGAACCCCCGATTATGACGTGATTGCCTCCTGCATTGACGCCATGCGATCTCTTGAATTCGCCATAGGATCTGGGCATGTTTCAATGACACGTTCTCGGCAACTCCCTACTTTGTGCTCTGCAGTTTATGCACACCCAGAGGTACAATGGAGACGTTCGGTTCCTGCAGTGGTACCACACGGAACATCAAGCATGCCTCCTAGCACAGAATCTGACAATATGAAAACACAATTTTCACAGAGCATATTCGCCTTGCTTGAGCCTCACATCTATTGTATTCTGACAAACAGATGTGCTAATATATTTGGGCCACTCAACACCCACTCATAGTGTACCAAAGCACTGTTTTATCTCCTGGAATTTCGTTTCGTAATTCATCCAAACCAGGTTTCATTTGGTGGGCTGAGTGTGAAAAAACAGGCATTGATGTATTTTTAACCTCTCTGCATATTTTACGCAGTGGCCTAACTTGTCTTGTTGTTTAATTAGCATCATCGTGAGCCTGTTAATATCGCATTTGTCTACGTGTTTTTGCAATCTTTTGATGCTTTACTATGTACATTCTTTTATAATTTGCTATTTTGATGAAAAAAATTTGGCAGCGGTTTTCGTGACTTGTCTGGCACTTTATCTGTCTTAAAATAATTATTACATATTTTCCATTGTAAAATAATTTTTCTTATAATTTTATACATCAGTCATTAAAACCAGCACTGAAACTGCGAATTTCAGGCTGGTTCGGGTTCTCACACTGTCATGTTAGAGACTAAGCTTTCTTGCATAGAACTAAATCCAAGAAAGTCCATAACAGGTGTAACTGGCAGTTCGCCAGTTTGGTTTGCTTCTGTTGATTAATTAGCATATCAAATGGCATGTTTATTACAGGCGGTCTAACCATCACCAGCAGAACGTTCATTGATTTTTTCGATGTCTATTCTATTGTGGAGGACACAAGGACACTTAGACATGTGTAAAGTCTGCATTGGTAGTAGTCAAACGTGAAATCCCTTCTCATAGCGTGATAGAGGTTTGTAATTACGTGCTATTGTAGAGCACATCAATTCCGAGGTCGGAACCACACGTAGCTGCTACACCAGCCCTTCTTTTGTTGGCATTAGATTCCACTCGGTAATCCAGGTTTAAAAGCTGACACCACCAAAAAGAAAAAAACGTATCGACAGCGTTAGTTTTGTGTTTGACCTGTTGAATATATTTATGATTTATTTTGAAGTTAACTTGCTTTGGGATGCCAACTCTCTAGTCTCTCTTGTTTAAAACATTAGCTCTTCTGTTCTCTAATGTTAACATGCGGATTCTAGAATCGACCAAGTTGAGTGGCATTTACATCATTCTAATCTTTTTTCAGAAGCCCCAGTTAAAAATATATCTGCCAATTATTTGTGCAAAAACACCAAAGTACACAAAACAAAAATTCTTAGCAACTTTGCTCAAATGAACTTCGAAACAAATCCTTTGTGACAAACACAACCACAGGCTGTCTAACGCAATTTTTAGTTTTTAAGCGAATGGGTACAAAAGGGTAACAATGAGCAATCAATCCACACTTGTATAACATGTAGGTGCTATTTTTGTAATTTCTTGTGTTCAACTTCTGAAGTGGCCAAAAGAGTCTGCTCGCTTTAAAGTTGTATTAGTTTTACACTTTTAATATCTTGACAAATCGTGTGATGCAAAACCGTCCATAGCAGAACCTTACTATCCACTTTCATGAATCCCATTTTGTCACTAAATGCAATCATACCATGCTGCAGTCCAACTTTAAAATCCTACCTTTTCACTTGCAGGGAATAAAAAACAAAACTGTCATGTCCAGAGAAGCTATCCCTTGGAAAAATTTCTACAAACTTGGACAGTTGGTATGCGCAGAGATTATTTCAAGTTAAAAACTAATGTTCTAGCCTCAACTCGTGTGTGCTCTTGCAAATAAACTACTGAAGGATAAGAGGTGTAAGCAGAATAATTGGCGTTTTGCGTGAGCACACTAGTTTCAATGGCAGTCCTCTGCCAAAATTCTTCGCCATCCTCTCCATTCACGAATATTTAACTCTCGAGCTGTTTTCTTATGCCTGTGGTAAACTCCAAACCAATAATTTTCAATAACATTTTCAAGTGGCAGTCCAATTTCTCAAAAACACTCGCCAAATGGTGCAAACACTTGTCAGCGATGAGACAGATTGTGTTGCTAATATTTGCAAAAGTCCCGTGTGCAAATATAAGCACTGTGGACGACTAGAAAGCTTATATCGCTCAAGTTTGATTTTTTTCTACTAACAATATCGAATAATTTTTTGTTAAACATTACCCATTTTTAAAAATCAGGCTGAAACAAAACTTCTTCGCTACTGAGCTTGTTATTTGGGGAATGTATTTCTAATACCTAATTTGTTTTAACACTTTTTTACTAGACAATATGGTTTAAATGTGCACATGAAATAAAAATCCGTATCAAGGTTATAATGCGCGGTAGAAACTTTTTCATATTGGAGGCTTGGATAATCTTACTGCAAAACAGTTGAAATACTAATTCCTTAAAATAACTGTTGTAGGCGACATGGGCATCCATGAGTAGGCATGAATTATCTTTGATGTTGTTGGGGTTTTAAAGTAGATATTTTGGATCTTAAATGCCCCATGGTCTTGCACAACGTGCCCATTTAAAATCATGAAAACAATGAAAAAATTAGCATTTGGCTTAGGTAAAGCCAAAAAGGTTATTTAACTCATGTATAATTTGATGCAAAAGTGGTGGAAATTGTTAGCATGCGTGTGCTTCAATCAGAAATCGTGGGAGTCCACGATTTCGAAGTAGAAGAGTTTCACCCATTGCATAAATTTACCTACCTCAGACTCATGCACAGTGCCATCGCATTAAAAGTGACAACCTCCATGGTGCCCACAAATTCAAACTCCTTATTGCAAAATGGCTCAACATCAATATCTCAGTAAAAGAAGGAAAAATTTCAAGAACAGGCGTGGGAGTAGGGGAAAATATAAAAAAAAAACATGAGCAGAGACTAATTCAATCAAATCAGTAAAAGAACCGTTTAGTGGACATTAGGACCATGTAGCAGGAAATGCTACTCAAATTCAAGATTATGTGCAATCAAAAGTTTATAAAAGCGATGATATTCGAACAGGAGTTAGCCAAAACAGGCATTATTTCTCAACAAAATGCAAAACACGAAACTTAAGAACTGAAGATATGGTGATCATTTGGTGTCACTTCTGGTAAGTAGTTTATGTGCGTAGCTTTAAACCTAAAAATCACCTTTGAAATCATTTTTTGCCTTAATTTTTCAAAAAGACAGCATAATAGGTGCATATACACTGGCTTTTTCACAAATGTATGGACCGAATAGAGGCTAGAAGCATTGAAACTTTGATGTTAAGCTCTATAATGGCACAGTAAAGAAAGAACATACCTTGGAGCTACAAATTGCTATTTTTGACACGGTGTGCGCTTCACCTTGTCATTCATGCGCTTTGATACCGCAAGACTATGTTCCTACTCAAAAGTTGGTGGGCTCAATCTTTGACTAACCATTTTCCATGTTTAGACCATCGCGAATTTGTGGTGTCGTATTCCTGAATCCCGTCCAAGGCTAAATACGTCTGAAAATGCTTCCGATTTTGTAGTCACTGTTTAAAAATAGAACAAAATTGGTATGCCTTTCAACGATAAAGTTACCTTATTCTCCTATTCCTTCTGCACACTTTAATCACCACCTAGCTAATTGTGCTCGTATGGATGCGCTAAGGGCCCGGGAAGACAAGTTGAAGACCATAGATGGTAAGGACACAACCGTTTACTAGGCAGCTTAATCAGGTTGCGTTGTGTAAGTGTTTGCCTAATGTAGTTTGTAATCAATAGTATTGGTAAACTGGTTAACGTACAAATACTGAAAGTTCAGAGCAGTTCAACAAACAGCGGCAAAAGAACATGCACCGAAATGTGTGAGAGCAGATGGTCCTCCACGGCTGAACTGTGGGGGGGGGGGCTCAGTGTTTTGCAGGCTGCAGCAATCATATTAATTGACGTGAATCAATACGATTCACTTTTGGTCTCCCCTTAGAGAAATTAATGGACGAAAGTAGACCAGTGGTTTTGGGCTGCCCATTTGAGACCTTCGTAATGGTCAAATGCGAAAGTGATTAAACAAAGCGAATAGTCGTCGTCAGAAGGTGGCTTAAACGTGCTATAGGAAGACTTTCGGGATGATTTTGCTCTAGTCTATACAACCTTTTTTTCCAATAGGATATCTGAGAGGTTGATTGCGAGACAGGTATTTTGTGTTTTGCCGGATAATTGAGGTGAGATAATGTAAGCTTTTCGACCGGGTTGAGAATTGAAAACCACGAGAAGAGTGAATCGAAAAGACCTGCCAGGAAAGCGTCGAAAGTTGAGGCCGGTGAGAGTCGAGTGATGAGACCAGGGGACTGATCACTGCCAAAGTGTTGTTGGAATCGATATTCATCGTCTAGAGATTAGGCAGCGTCCGGAGAATGGGAGGGCGCCAGAGATTGAGCGTCTTCTGGAGGCGATTGGAAACAGAGATGAAACCTGGTTGAGCTAGGGGTGAGTTGATTAATGAAGCCGGGCTAATACGGATGAGTGTTGAGGGTGAAAGCCAGGTTAATTGAAGGGACGAAATCGGGAACTAGAGTCGGGCTTGGTTTTTCAAGAATAAAGATCGGACGCTGAGATTCAGGGGGCAGAATGGCTTTAGGGATGGCATTTCCACTAGGAGGTGAGGCATAAAATAAGTACGCCATTTAAGTCTTACCGGAAAATCACCAATTGCTAGATCGCAGAAGGCCCACAGGCCTTCAAGGTCGAGGTCACCAGTTATTGAGGACCCCGGTATGTAGCCTAACACCATGCCGGGGCCGCTGCGTCAAATCTAGCCTGACATGCTTGACGTTCACAAAGCGTTATGGGATAATTTGAAGGTTAATCCAGCCAGTTTATGCGCTTTGTCTTCATTAATTACAGCATAACTACAATGTTGTAATTATGCTAAAAGGCAAAACAGTTAAAGTTTTATTTTCACGTCAGTCAGGTAGCTGTGTCGTCAGTGTTTTATTCACTACATGTTTCCATGTCTATCCAGCTACAACATTTAAACTTACTTAAAAAGCTACCCTGAATGCCTCGTTATCATCTTTTTACAACTTCTGTTAGCGAGATATGAAAATAATCTGATACATGGTGCTCAACCCAATACCTTAATTTGTCGCGTGTTAATTCCATTCAAGGATGATTCACTGTTTTGAGAGTCGTTGCCTAGTAAACAAGGTAGTCTGACTTGCTCCATTTTACGTCAGAATTTCATAAATGTCGGTCATATTTTTTCCTTAAAGTACAATCAAGTCGAGCTTGTTGATGGAAATACAATAAAATACAACAATTATATTTGACACATAACAAGATTGTACTTGTTTTTTGGCGGCCCTATCGTGGTCTAATAATAAAACAACTTTAAATAACATTCTTAGTTCTTTCAGTATTGGGACAGATTAAAATAAGCACTTTAATAGGTGGCAAACACCATTTCATCCGCCTTGTTATTTTACACGATGCTTGAGAGTTTTCTCATTGCTGCAGGTAATGAAATTGACTGAGGTTTCACAAAACTTTACTTACACTGGAAGACACAATAAAACATTGTTATTATTTTAAAAGAGAATGTCAAGTAAAAATTAGTTTTCGACACCAGATAGCTTAGGTTAATGAAAAATCGGTTTCTTTTATCTGAGAAATTAAACTTAGATTAGATTAAATGCAGGAAAGCTTTGCCACCAAAAGTGCGTTAAAATATTCTAACGGCTTTTGATAACCCTTTATTTATAAACGTTTTAAACATTTTTTCGACATTTAAATCATTAGGTTACGTGACAATAGACTTGGTGTACAAAAGGTGTTAAGACATGAATATGAATACATTTTATTTTTCGGGATATTTTTTGGCGTCCTATTTAGAAATTAGAATAAAAAACTTTTTTTCTTGCGATAATGTTATTGCGTCAAAATCATTTTGAATTTCCCAAGGTGCATATCATTTGTACCAAAAATCACTTACCCTGAACTGAATTTAAGCCACTATCACTTAAAATAACTAAAAAGCGTTATGATGATAAAACATATGCTAATTTCCGAAACCAAGTAATATGTATGACAGATGTTATGTTTAAAAACACTGTTAATGTCGAACAAAGACTATTAAAATAAACTTAGTGGTTTTTTGGGCCTGGTCACGTGTAAAGTTACTTCAGATAATGAAAACTGCAGAGTCGATACATGGTGCGATTGAATTCGTTGATCAGGTGAATGCTAGAGCTGTATTGCGAAACCCCGTGTTAGTTTAAGGTAAATTATTGCTTTTGTTGTTAAAAAGTTTTGCAGACATGTTGAAATTATACGTCGGCTGACGGCTTTCGTCGTAAGTTTTAAATCTTGTACCAAGTTTGAAATTTTAGAAAATGTGCAAACTTTTACTTTACATTGTCGAGATCTCCACATTTCAGCTATCTGTTGCAAGATGAACACACGCCACTTATGAAAAAAATGGCCCAAATTCAAACTCTTTTGAGATTATTTGCAATGTTCATCACTACAAATGTAACGTTTGCAACTTCCGGTGGAGATGCTTTTTTATTTGATATAAGCTTTTTTATTTGATATAAGCGTTTTGTACAAGATCATGAGATCTGTTAGTTTAAAAATAAGCAAAGCGTCGATGCTAGAAATATTTCTACTTCAGTGGAGCCTAACATTTTGGAGTAACTTGTAAAGAAAACAATTATTAACTGAGGAAATTTTACAACCACTGCGGAATATAATCAGAAAAACTAGCGCCTTGTGACAAACCACACCAGGAAACAATGCTCCCGGTCCTACTGAATGGGTAAAAAACAAACTATTTGTTTTACATTTACTCTAAACAAAACCCCCGCGTACTGTCAGCACTAACAAGGGGCAGTCTCCGTGACGGCATTAAGGTGCATTTAAGCGCCTGGTGAATGCGATATGCGGACCGAAGTTTAGTTGGGATGTTATTCATAAGAATTTAAACGCATCATAGTGACTGTGAGACAACAGTTCAGAAGGGACACATTCGAGTTCCATTTGTCATTCTTGGAACCTCCGGTCTCGTTACCACCAAGGAATTAACCTAGCTTGTTTGAACTGTAATGGCTCAAACTGCATTAAACGGGAAATGAAGTTGGAAACATCGAGAATAAGCAAGCAAATTTTAAGAGAATTGCATCGCATAAATTAGACCCTCTCATTGGCCATTTGCGTGATGGGCTGGTAGTTTTCGGAAAGAAAGAAAAGGCTAATCATGCCTGAAAAAACCGAAGCTTCCCTCTTTGACAGTATTGTCATCAAAATTATGACAAAATTTTAAAAAAAGCTGTCTTTTCCTGTAACAGGAAGAGTGAAAAAGTTGATTCTTTCTAAAATTAATCTAAAAATTCTAAACGATTTCGTTACATCAAATACAAAGTAGCACATGGCTTTCAAACTGATGTTAGTCAAATAGCGTTTCAACGAGAACATATAAAGTACACATCAACCAAGCAAAAAATCAAGTAGATTCCCTCAGGTTCCATCCGCGAGACGCTTGTATACTGACGCTTTTCTCTGCATGAGACTGATACAAGGACCCAAGAGCCGCTCAAAACTTTCAACACCCAGCACGGCCAATGTAACATCAGTGTCTGCATACACACTGGCGGCTCGCGGCTTGTTGCTTAGTAAAGCCAGTTCTCCAAAGTATCCACCCTTTTCGATCCTCGTAATTTCTTTCTCCTGACCTCCATCTTGCTTTGTAACACGGACTATTCCATCCATAACAAAAAATATCGCCTCGCCCGGATCCCCCTCGCGAATGATAATGTCTCCGCTGGCAACTGTTTTGCGCTGCAGGTTATCGGCCAACGACATTCGTTGATAAGGCGTTAGGTCTTGAAGGATACGAACCGAATGCAACAACTCTACGAAGGCACGTCTGCGTCTGGCAGCATGACCAAGTACGAGTTTCCTAAAGGATTGACGACTCAAAGCCCAGAGTATGCCCTCCGTAACAGCAGTGACTGTTGCACTTCGAGGAGCGTTATACATAAGTGCTAGTTCACCGAAAAATCCTTCCCCGTCATACTCCTTCACTACCTTTGTACCTCCTCCTTCAACATCAATTTTTGCCTCAAACTTGCCCGAATCAATGACATAAAAGTTGTCGCCATTGTCATATTGCTCAATTACGTTCTCACCAGGCTCTGCTTTCTTCATAAACATTGCATTTATAACATCCGTGAGTTCCTTATCATCGAGTTCACTAAAGAGGACTATTTTTTTGCAAACATCCCTGAGACGTTGTATCTGGTCTGGAGTTTTTTCATGAAAGCTAGTTTTTCGTCCGATGGTTGAATCATCATCATCATCGTCATCTGGATTAAACCTTTCCGCAGCAACACTAGCTCGTCTATTAGAAGACTGTTTTGCTGCCATGTTGAACATTCGTTCAGCAAAGTCGTCATCCATCATGTCGGTTTCGTCCGGTGCCTCATCCTGACTGGCGTCTGCTGTTAAAGAGATTTTAGGTTGGACACTGCTTTCCCTGTTTGCCATCTGGGTGAAGTATTCAACTGCAAAAAGTGGAATATTCTCGGGTTTGTTTCGAAGAATAGCGACCGTGAAGTCTTGCAAGAGTTGAATTAGACCATCGGGCACATCAGGCTGCCCATTAGGCATCTTGGACCAAGCAGAGATAATTGGATGGTTACAGTTTGCACCCACCTAAAGACTGTGCAACGTGATGCAAATTTAAAATTATGGATTTTTAGGGTCCCGTGGTAACGCACCAGATTTACGTACCAAAGAAAACCGCGTGGTTGTCACGTGTCTACTTATATAGGCCAACGCTTTATGCATATCTCTAAGATCTTTCAGTCACTGCTTTGAAATTTAATGGTACTAAACTGGAGGGAACGACACTTGCAGTACAATCCTTTAACTGTCATTTCCATTGCTAATAATCATTTTGCAATCAAAGCATTCCCCCAAAATACAAATACGACATTGTTCCTTCTCTTTTTCTTGCCTTTTCAGTTTCTCATGAAAACGACCTAAAATATGCTGGTTCCATTATCATAATGGAGACGAGAATTGGGTCTCCAAATTTAGGAATAAATGACACGGTCACCACATTACCTCGTTCTATCCAATACACCTTCGGGGAACATTAAGCCTGGCCAGTCAAAGTGACGACGTACCCTTTTCTGAGCTAGTGTTTGCCTTTCGGACCTAGTAGTAAACAATTTTTTTCCTCAAAGTCGTTGGTTAGCAACTTCAAGTAGGCAATAATTTGTCTATTGTTATCTCGAATTCGGGTCTCAAATCTCTGCAACGACTGACACTTGGTACTAATTTTCATATCATAGCTTGACTTCCTTGACAATATCAGCCAGTGCAATATCATAGGCAGAAATATCACTTCAGAGGAGTTCCTGCCCCAAGAAAATCTACCGAACGCTAACAAACAAGAACTGTCATTGGCAGCTTCCGAAATTTGTCAAAGTGGCTCAGCCATCTCGTAAGCCCACACATCAAGTCACACTCCATGGCGTGACAAAAGGTCCTCCTATTTCTGATACGGTAAGACGCCTTCCAACAGCCTCTGATCACCACCACTACAAATGCTATCCAAGACAGTGATAACTTAGTTGTGGTCACTGCGCCTTTAATAATGTCGCGATTCCTGTCTGGTGCCTTATCCTGCACATCTACGACATTTTTCTTCTCATAAACAGTGCTAAAGCCTGTTTAAGTCTGAAAATTGTCTGAACTTATCATCATTAATTACATGGAGCTCTCAAATACGTACCAAAAATATTGTTAAGCCATTTGGACTTCTGATTATTGGTTTACCTAACTGTCATCCAGACTTTTCGAAGGTTTGCTAGAGTAAGACTTACGTGGTCTTGGATTCGTCTTCCTATATACCGATAGTATCCCAATTATAAATAAAGATCATGGCAAAGATCTGCATCATTTATGACAAGCCTTCTGTAGCATCAAATCGATTTTATCAAATGAATTTTTTGAAGGAGCAGAGTTGATTTTTGTGGATAGTACACCAGGACAGACAGCATTTGACCCCTCACCAAAAGACGGTAGAGTATGCAAGTCAGAGTTGAAATTGTCATTTGAAGTTGCTTCGTCATCTTTACAATCCTGCACTTTTTACCAACCACAGAACCACGTAGGAGCCCAGGTGATTGCAGGCATAACTGTTTGTTTGGCTAGGAAATATGCTGTTTTCTGGGACAGTGTCTGTAAAACTTGAACCTAATATGTCATTGAACTAGTCATGTTTTTTAATAATCAAACATGAAGGCATTTGCTCATGGCTAATGAGAATAATTTAGAAATTTCGTGGGAGCGATGATCGCCAACAAGGTATGATGATCCTTAACACATTTAACCGTGCTGATTAGATTCCAAGTCGCTTTAATATAGTATCAAAATATGCTACAAAATGGTTTCCATTTTTGCTGAATTTCGACATTTGTTACGATCATAACTTAACTTTTCCAGACTCCTAGTATTCGCTGCTTAATCTAGTAAAATAATTTGAGCAAGACCAATCTATATGGCCCGGATGCTCATTATTTTTTCCTTCACGAAATTTCACTTTTCTGACACGCACAATCACCAGCAAATAGTTTATACAGTAATCAGTAATAAGTGTCAGAAAAACAGATTAATGTAAAAGAAATCACAAATTTAATTTGATGCTAATTAAGTACCTGATATTTGGTGGAAATTGGGTTAAATCAAAATCAATTCCTGAAGTTTTATCGTTTTGCTACTTTGATACTCGAATTTCTCTCATACCCGTAGTGTGCAAAACAGATAATACTCAAACATGTTTTTGTTTACTAAATTAATTCCTTTAATTATCGGAGTTCAAACTACAACGGAGGCAAGTCAAACAGATAATATCTTTCGGTATTTGTTGATTGCACACAAAGAACCTTTCTAAACGGTCAAACAACCCAGTACGTGGACCAGTGACATGATAATTGCTAGCGAAATAACGAAATGAGTTTCCATTTTTGCTTCCAAATGACTCATGTACAAATTAAAAACTAAGTAAATCGGCCTTTAGATCTACAGTCAGGGAAAAAGCATTTCATTAAATGCAGTATTTCGGCCATGTGCAAGCAACCGCCGTTCTTCATGCGACGGCGCCAACAGGTCCCGCGAATTGACTCATCAGCCAGCAACCACTCCGAAGAATAAAATTACCAAACCAGGGCCAATGCGCTCAGCGGCCACTCAGCTTGGCTGATTTACCCATGACCTTTCCTTTTATAATAAACTGAGTAGAACAAAATCTTTGCAGCCTCAACTTGTGAAATGCATAAGTTGATTTTATTCGACCTGATCGGAGACAAATGCATTCTGTTTGATAGAAAAAAAAACCTTTTCGTTGGGAAGTGTCGTGACCACTAACATCCTGGCTGCAGATTTCATTGGACACTTTGAAAACACTAAAAAATCTTGTCCCGTAACAGCAATCACAGTTTTACTAATATATTTACAATGGAAATTTTTGTAGCAGGAAGAAGAAATTGTTGTTTGTAACTTGTCCAAAAACACTGTAGTTGTATGCACGAAGTGAGGAACATTTTAATTTGTAAACATGAATTTCTGTTAGAGTAAGAGTGATGTGCCAACAGATGATATCAATTCATCTATCGACGGCATAAAGTGAATTTTAAAGTTAACACTAAGGTCTGCAGAAAAAGATGAGGCTTGCCCGTCTCACCAAATGTTGAAGCACCCACCCTGGTAGCATGTGGTAGCTAAACCCTTGTACTTTCGAATACATCAACTTTGTGAACATGGCTTGTCCCTCATATGCCAGGAAATCCAGCGATAGATAGTCACTTAGAGGTCAATGTTTTGATCTGTTTAACTAGTACCGTAATAAACTATTCACTAGTCCTCTGGATTTACAATATGCGTTTAAAAAACGAGAACTGTTAAGTGAAATGCGTAAGTAGGAATATGTCCTAAGGCACGATAAGTGAAACAGGTGTTTTAAGTTGATCTTAAGGTTGTGATTTTTTTATTATCAGACACCCATATTTATTTAAGAGAGGTCATATAGGCTAAATCTACCCAAAATCATAGTTTGACTTCAAATTTTTCAACGCTAGCAAGAGGGTTGGTGAGATTAGAACATGGGACAAATTCATTTAAACCCACTGTTCAAACAACAATTCCTTTCAATCACTTCAAAACGTCCTTTTTTAATTAGTGAATGCAATTTTAAAATAGGAAACTGAAGCATTCCACTAATACATAAAGTCCAATCACGACTTTTCAACTTTTACTCCTGATATGCAACCATTTGGTGATTGGAGTGAGTGAGTGACCTCGCCGCCCATTAGTGACCCCAGAGTGACACCGCCAGATCGTCGTTAAAAGCATCACCGGCTTCGAGGTGCTGCCTTGTGTATGCAGGGCCTGATGACTTTAAAAGAAAGGAGCTAAGCGGTTAGAAGCCAAGACGCTGTTAGCTAAAAATAACCTGGAGGTTTTAATCTAAAATGACACAAAGAGATCAATTCGACCAGAATGAGTGTGGTGAATATTCGCAATTGATCCTTTGGTTCCTAGCATAATCGTAAGTCTCTGTAGGTTTTATTAAGAAGTAATGCAAAAAAGTAATTGAGTTAGGACAGTGCTGTTAATAATGTCTAGAATCTTGTTTCTCTTACCTACAAAAGTCACTTGATTTCTTTTCTCTGTACTTTATCTTGGCTACCTTAACTACCCAGAAATAGAACGCATAAATTCAACTTCCTATCCGGTAGCTATTGGTCTAAAGTATGACAAGCTTTTGCCCCTGTCACTTGCTTTGCACTTGACTCTTATTTCTAATTTTACGATTTGACCGTCATACAAAGAGTCACTAACTCTTCATAAGAAACTATGCAAGAAGCTTTTAGTTGTGAATCAACTTTGAATACTTTAACGAAGGTTTCCAATGCATTAATCGAGTTTTGCACACCTGACTTTGGTACATGGGATATTATGTTGAGTAATTTAACTGATCAGTATAATTAATGTAAACCAAAATCTCCACGCGTGCATTCACCACCTCCTGCTACCCATTACCTCCCCCAAATAAGCCAAATAAGCCTAGATATGGAAAAAACTGTTAGACTGTAAAGCTGAAGTAGAAATTTGTATTCGAATAAACTTCACATAAGTGCGATTTCATGTGTTTAAAAAATCATTTACTTAACATTAAAATTTAGCTAATCTTTGATCCGAAACGGAGGCGAAGTTGTAATTTTGCATTCTGTAATCAGTTGTTTGATTTTTAAATTGGTTTAGGGATGATTCAGCGGCTGCTAACAGAGGTCGCGACGCTTCATGGTTGGATGAATCCTAAGGCTAGATATTCCATGTCATGCTACCTTACTTTGATAGCATGGATCCCTGACTAAAACTGGTTTCGATAGCTCTTTGCTGATAGATTGAGACTATGGTCGCAGGAGGAAGTTGGCAGTAAACTCATTGTCCATTATTACTCATCACCTTAACGGGTTGCATCTTTAGGTGCAATCTAAATGTTTTTTTTACTTTTAACAACTATTACAGTGAAAAGACATCGCTGAAGGCCAATCACCCTCGTATACCGGCAAAACTTTTCAACAATAGCATGTGATAGT